GACCGACGTAATGAAGGAATCGACTCCCTCCACATGACTGCTACCGGCGTGCCACAGAAGCACACCGCAGACTAAGAAGGCAAAATAAAAATCACCAGGTAGGATTCTCCCGTGAGGTGTTTCAGGTCCCATTTATCAGGTCAAATAAACATTTGTTAGTACTGCTTCTCAGGTCAAATAAACATAATTTAGCAGCCATAAAGCTGTGTCTGAGCATGATCTACTTAGAGTTTTATTTACCACAAGCACAACTGCCTCTTCAACCTCAGTGAAAAAAATTCCCTGTTGCACCAGACAACGTGTAAATCTGAAGGTGACTGCCCACTGACAGCAGCTCTCTGCTTTGCTCACACCTACACTAGGTGACAGTGGAGACAAGAAGGGGCTTCACATCAAGACAATCTTTAAGTCGCTTTGCTTTAAGTTCCTCTTGTCCAGAGACACAACAATCTGAAATGCAGCTTGAGCACAGGAAGAAGCTCACGGGACTATTAGCAGCACCTTCTCGGATGTTTTGAATATTATTGCACTCAAAGCCTTACGGCAAGTGAGGATTTTACCCTGAAATAACACGACTGCTCTAATATATCCACTTCCTGTCATAAACAAGTCTATCAGAGACATTCCATAAAACACATTTTCTTATGCAAACATACTAAAAGCAAAACAAAATGAGTATATACACTGACTGCAAATGATTAATGAAACAGTCATTAGCCTAAATAGCATTAAAGGGCTATAGGCAATTCAGTGAGGTACAACCTGCATGCAAGCCAATGAACATCACTTGTGACACCGAGGACAAAACTGAGGCAAAATTAGGGCAGGTCCTTTGACACTTGCTGGAAAATTTCATCAATGGAGAACAAAAATGAACAGACATTTTTAACCCAAGGCAACCGATAAAAGTTGGGCGGAGAGAGAAAGACCACACACTGCCTGAACTGCCCTGCTGAAAACACAGCCCAGGAATTGCATGGTTGCAGCCTCCTGAGCCCCCACACTAGATGACGCTTCCTCCCCTGGGGTCTCTGATCCACGTGGCAGCAAACCACAGCCCCGGGGAAGCGTGAGGAGCTCCCCGAAGCACAACGCACCCTGCTTCCACCTCCCTCGAGCGAGTTCTCCTCGCTGCTGACGTGCATCTATAACAAAACAACCACACCTCGCCACCAGCTCAGAGTTTCCAGCATGTGCAGTCAGAAGGCCAGAAAAAGTCATTACCACACACTGCTAGAAGACCGAGCAAACAGAGATGGAGGCATGGATTCATCCCACCTAGTTTTTAACTGAAATATTGAAGTTAGGAGTGTATTTGCCCCTGCTGGTATCTGCTCCAGCTTCCCAACATCTGCAAGCCACTTTCATACTGTTGTAATGATGAAGAATCTGTAAATTTTATCACATTTTCATTTTGGACATGGGTACTGACAGACTAAACTTTGAAAGCATTGTAAAAATGGCAGGCTGTCTTCTGTTTTCCAGATCTTTTCTTTTTAACATTAACTTACTAATAAAGAGGTATGTAAAATGCAATAGAAAATTCTCCTGGTTTTAAGCATAAATGGGTATTGCAGTTCACCAGCCCACTTGCAGACATTCTTACACTTCATCTAGGAGTTCCACTTGTGCAAGATCTTCAGGCTCCTCAACTTTGCAGTCACCCAAAAGTCCATCAAACATTGCTGCATGCCATGTCAGCAGAAATACAGCAGAAATACACTTTTATGAAGTTTGCTTACAACAAACCTACTATTTCTCAGCAAAGAAGAACAAGCTCTTCTCACCTCATCCCTCCCATCAGCGAGTTCATGAGATTAGAGTCTTCCTGAACTCCCTGCTCTCCTAAACTGCAGTTGTTTCATTTCTTTCTGCTGCTGTTCTGTGGGAGGGAGGGGCTGGTACACGGTAGCACAGACAGCTTCAGCATGTGGGTGCACTTGAGGCTACTGACTCGGTACGGTGAGTCTTCTACTGGTAATGCTGACCTAGTCCAGCTTTCTGGGATTAGTGACCCACCCTTCCTTCCTTCCTTCCACAGGGTTCGTACTGAGACACCACCTGTAGTTTACCCCTCAGATAAAAAGGTAGAAAAAAATTATAGAAACTCAGGGATTTTCTTCAGACATTTTTTTTCAGATGAGATGAATATCCATAAAACCATGAGACTGAAGGGCATGAGGTTGGCCTGGGAATGTCAAGAAAAAGAAGATGGTCTTACCACAACACTAACCTTGCTTTTCATTGCCAGATCTCTCTCAAGGACTCTGTGAGACCCTGTGTGACTGTAAGTCATGCTTCAGTTTGCACCTGAAGCCCTCTGATGACCAAAACCAACAGGGATGCTCCTAGTGTAAAAGAGCTGATAATAATCAGACATTCAACCCTCAACATTAATCATCTCAATCTCATTCTCTGTGCTGTAGGGTAACAGCTCTAGGGTAATGAGTATTGCTAAAGCAAGAGCAGACTTCCTACCCAGAGCCCTCTGGGTGATTGGTGATACTTAGGCTCTAATTAAAGCACTGCATTCAGTACAACAATATTAATATTAAATAATTGCTCTGAATCTGTCACTGTCCAGAAAAGCAGTGTTTAGAGACCAATGAAATTGTTTTCAGCAAATAAAGCACTAATTTAGTAATAATGGTAGTGCCTGGCTATCCCAGTGCATGAAGCTGCAGTCTGCTAATGCCACGGGGTCTGCTTCCGGACGGGAATTGCTCAGTGAGATTATCAACCGTTGTAAAATGTCTTGGCCACAAAATTAATAATTAACTCAGGTCTCCATCCCATAAAAACCCATATTGTAAGAGCACAACACATTTAAAGCTATCCTGCATACAACAGGACTAAAGCAACACATAAAAGGAGCCAGAAACCCAGAAAATCCTTCAGCTAAGGGAAGACAAACTACACCGAGGTTTATCTCCATGGAGAAATCCCCTGACAAGCTAAACAGTAAGAATGGATCGACAGCTCCTGGAGTACCAGAGGCTGGAAAGGACAGTCCTGCACCCACTGCAGAAGGTGCTGCAGAAATGAGCAGAGCAGGACCCCCAACAGAAAACACTGCAGATACGAAGAGACTGGGAGTCACTGAAGAATGTGTTAAAGAAATGGAGAGACCTTCAGGCACAGAGCGAGACAGTCCTGCTGCCTTTAAACCAGCGATTTCAGACAGAGGCTGTCCAAACTCAAAGCCTCTCGTTGTGCTAACAAATGCAAACTCTGCCGAAGTGTGCAGTTTTGAAATGAAGCACCAGTGCTCAATTGCAACATCTTTCGATATGGACTGCCTAGTCTGCTTCAACAAGTACAACATCTACAGAGTACCAAAGCTCCTGGAGTGCCAGCATGCCTTCTGCGCCGTCTGCCTCAAGCTCATCCTCAGGAAAGAAGAGAGTAACTGGATAATCACCTGCCCCCTGTGCAGAAAAGCCACTTTTGTGTCAGGAGGACTCATCCGCACGCTTCAAAATAAAGAAGACTTCATGGCGCACTTGGAAAACCCCGATTCAAGTCCTGAGGTACACATCTCTGCCATAAGCAATAGCTGGTCTCAGACCAGCCAAGACGCTTTACGCAGAGATGAAAATGTTCCAGCAGACAACAGACTGGCTATCCAGAGACTCGTGCTACTCCTGCTGCTTGTGGTGATTCTCACTATCCTCATCCTCCCCTTTATATATTCTGGGCTGGTAAAATGGGTTATTTGTCTCATGCTTACTTTGGGGTTGGTCATGTGTATGGTGCTTTGCTGCGCTCCTAAATTCTCCTGGAGGTGTAACAGGGACTCGCTCACCTCCTGCCGCAAGGAGAGCCACATCACAGCTATTGCCTGAAACAATTAATGTGCGTTGCCGAGAGATAATGGACTGGTCCTGCAGGCAAAGCTGCATGTTAGGCACGCTAGTCAGTTGGTGGACTTTGAAAGCAATCATTCATGTAATAAATTCAACAGGTGGCTGAACTGGCTCAACAGCGATGCACAGCATTGTTAAATTTCATTACTGGAAACATAGTCAAATATTTATATGTTGATATTTATGAGATAAAAATTATAGGTTTTCCTCACAATTTTTATCTCAATCATTTCGTTGTTTTGCTTGTGTCATTTTGCTCTTGCTCCTGTCATCTCCTGATGAGCACTGCAGAACACTGTCTAAAATACCTGAGAGATGATGTCCTCTGAAAATCCCTGGCTGTGGCTGCATTTTCCCACCTCTGAACACACATACACTTTCTTGTGACAAATTGGGGAAATAAGACTGCTAAATCAGGGACTGGGTGCCTAGCCTCCACATAGTAGTTTCCACGAGTAGTTTTAGCCCAGATTATCACTTTAATCCTAAAGGTGGACTGGGAAAAGTGTATGCCAGTTGGTGCCATCTGATTCACACCCCACTAGAGAGGGAGAAGCAATCTCAACACTCCTAATTGTGAGCCTGTGGCTTGCAAAGGGCAAGGCTCTCAAAGGCTCATGACACTCCAAATTCTCCATGTTATTTAGCACAGAAATAGTTCCTCACACTCAACTCTGGCTATCTGCACTGCCTCTCTTCTTGCCCTCTGTACATGAAGTATGACATTGCCCGTGGAGATGCCCAAAATTCTCCTTCTAAACAGAAATCTGTCAATTCTTATGCTGTACCACATGCGATTATTTTTATATGGGATGTGTCCATTAAAGTTTAATAATGTTAATTACTCACTGGCTTCTGTGTCTCAATTCCTCACTGACAACTAATGTCAAAACATTTCACAGTTCCCTCACTGATGGGAACTACAGCTGAGAAGGCATATTAAGGAATCTGTACAACTGAGTTGGTGAGTAAAGCAAACCTTTACTTAAAAAAACATTTAGTTGCTAAGAAAATACCCTATAACCCAACTAAAATTAAATTGGAAAAAAAAATAGACTGCTTTTGTTAAGTTACATTTTCAAGAGTACCATGGATCTCAGTAGACCTTGGATCAGGCCTGTGGTAAATATTTGTGCTTGATAAGAATGGAAACTGATGTACTCCAGTTGCTCGGTATATAAATATACATAGTGTCTTACCAGCAGATAAAACAGATTAGACTAAGAGGGTAAGGAGCCATTGTCCTCCTAGAGTCTTGGAAAAAAACAGGTCTATTTTCTGCCTAAGAAGAACCCTGTTTCCCTTCAAGGGAAACAAATGCTTTGTTTCTTTTCATATATTTGGACAGCAACTGGCTTATTGCAGAGTACATATGTAGTAGCATTGCTAATAACCAACCAGCTTTTTCCTTGGGAAAAGGCAGGTAGTTTTAAATCCAAATATTTTACTGAACTGTTTTATTCCAGTTACAAAGGCCAGACTAGATATTCACCTGTCCTGAAAACAATTTCAGAAACTCTTGCCAAGTCTTTCAGCTCATACACAATTTTCCTGTGGAGTTCCCTTCACCAGCACTAGTGGGTGACTGGCACTGTAAAGGTTTCTAATAAATACATTAGTACTGGCCTGAATGTAGCATGCATGAATGCATCAGAGAAAGCTAGAAGGGTTAGAGGAAAACCATGTGCTAATTGCTACTGAACACTGATTTGATTCAAGCGACTAGATAGCAAGGAAGAAACAGACTGTCCTAAAGATAAGATGACAAAGACGAACTGGACTAGAGCCATAAAATAATCCAAATTTAAAAAAACAAAAGATAAAACTTTGGGAATTGTGCCTAAGAGGGGAAGAGACCAAACAAGATATTAATACCAAATAACACCAACTCCAGAAGGGTGTATAAGTCACACCCATTACTGGTTTGCCATCACCAGTCATGAAACGTGATGAAGATTTTAGGGGCAGTGTCCCTTGTCCTCCGTATCACTCACAGTGGAGCCTGGCCAGCCCACGTGGTCGTATCAGCACATGGTGTGAACAAACAAAATCAGAGAATGAATGTGAACAGGAAAAATCCGATCACCACCTATCACCCCGCCCTTCCAAAAGGGTGCGTTCAATTTTATTACACTAATTTCTACAGTGTCCAAAAAAATGACCAAGAGAAGAGGGCTTCCCTCAAGGAAGCACACACCAGCGTGAAGGAAGCAGGCATGCCGTGTGATGGCCAGTGCGAGACTGGCTCTGAAAGAGCCCCTGTGGATCCATGCAGTAAGATCACCCACCATGGAAGTCCAGGTTTCCACCCCCCTGCTTTGTATCAGCACCTTCCAAGCCTCCCTTCAGCAATTCAGCCTTTGTCTTCAGCCTTTGAGAGCTGCTACCAACCAGCTGATCCAGAGTTCGTGGATGTTGGTGGGAGGCATTAGGCCCTAGAGCCTGGTATCTTTGTAACACTTGATTCTCATCTGACAAGACAAAGCTTGATGACAATGCAAACCTTTGAAGCAGCAACTAAGTTTATGGAGAAAAGGCCAACAGACTTGTATTCCTATTCCAAAACAGAAAGGATTTGCTTAAGCCCAGTTTTAATTCATGACAGTCTTTTTGGCAAGAAAGTTTCAGCTCCACGCTACCTTGTCCTGCTGGCTCCCAATTTCACACAGTGATAAAGTAACATGCTGTAGCCTGAAAGAGAGAGGTTCATAATGAGAAACAGGCCCAGGCAGCAACATTCAGCTGTACCTGACATACATATCTGACATAAATATCGAGAACTATGCTTCACAAAGACAGAATCCCATTGAGACATTAAGAGCACAGTAAGACCCAACAGTGGTGTTTTAGGGTTATAGTCTGTACAGAGTCCTGGACCGGATACTTTAAAGGTGTCTTGTTCAACAATGCAAACACACAAACCAAATTTAATTCAAAACCATGCCTGTCCTTTTGTCGTGCTGTGCTCCCACTCTGCCCACAGGGCCCTTCCCAAAGCTACAGCTTTCCCTATCTCCACCCCTTTCCAGGCTGCTCATCAACAAACAGCAACACCATCGCCCACCACAGTCACTAGTTCCTTACATAAGAGACCGAGACAGGTACCTGAAAAACTGTGAGTGTAGGTGTTCTAAATTATTGTTAAATGTAGAAGTCTCACTTTATCTACAGAACTTTGAATTATCCATAATTGTGCTGGCTTTGATTACCATTAAACTACATAATAAGATCCCAAGTTTACAACATCTGGTAAACTCACTCCTAATTGTCATTCCACTCAGCTTATGTTTTGGTCCACTTTTAACAGCTCTTCTGCAAAATCACACAGATACAGGCAAAAATAAACGTGGAATAAATAACACTTTTCACACTTCCACATCACTCAGATTCTGTACAAAGAGAACGTTAGGTCCTTAAACACAGAACTGTCAAATCTACAAGAAACTAATTTGCAGATCTTGGTGTAAGAGCACAGATTTGTGTCCAAGTGACGACTCCTTGTTGTGAACCATTTGCAAGTTGTCCATTGTTGTGCAGTCACCTGAGTCACAGGTAAAGTATATGCCTTCTGCACCCTTACTGGGATCACCAGAACTCACCTTCTGAACTTCAGTGTCACATTTAACAACTATATGTCGATGCTGAAATACCACCAGATGTCTACATACTACACATGAGTACTTGTGCGAGTAAACTTGAAGTGGTCTAATATTAGTAGCAAGCAACCAGTACTAGGTATTTGGCCAAATCACAATCAGCTTTTAAACAAAGCTGGTACCCACATTTTTTTAAAAAACTGATTTATAAATGAGTCCCACATAGCACATTTTAAAGTATAAACTGGTTACCCCAGTAACTAGTTTTGCTTTCATAAAACGTGATTATACAGAAACACTGCTATCCTTCAGGAAGAAAAAACAGATTTCTCCAAAAATTACTATGCATTGGACTTGGGGTTCCAGCCTGAGACTGCTCTCAGAGCAAACACATTTCTTAAAACCCCAAGAGAACAGTGCAAAAGCCTTATCCTAGGGTAGCTGACCTAACTCCAGAGCCTTAGGATTTCTGCAAGGCCAGTTAACCACAGTAGAGCTGACTGTGCCAGTAACCTGCTCTCACGTATTTGCCTGATGAGTGCATACATACACACACACGCACATACTACAGCTTCTGTTCATACGGCTCCGGGATCCCACGCAGGAACACAGCACGAAGTGCGAGACGCCACTGAAGCTTTTATTTTCCTCAGGGTAACCCTCAAAGACACCAACCTGTGCTGCCTGGAGATGACAATGAAGTCTTGGGACAGCAACTTCACCAAACGCACATCCCTACCTCCCGCTGTAGCCGTCCCTCACAGAGGGAGGAGCTCTCACTGGGGGAAAAGGGCTTTAAAGGGAGCAAAAGGGCTGGTACCCAGATAAGCCTAAACCCTGCGTGAGCCACTAACGTGGCGGACAAGGCCCAAGACTGCAGATAAAGGTGGGCAGCAAGGAGAGCAGCCAAACCCACCTCGTGGTGGAGACGGAGCTACCACCAGCCCCGTGAAGGAGGCGGGTAAGGGCCCCCTCGCCGTGCCGCCCCCCTCAGCCCAGCGGCCCGCCCTCTACGCTCCGCAAGCTGCGCGCTTCGCTACGCCGATGGCGTAGTGGAGCAGAGGACCGCCCAGCGCAGCCCACCTGCCGTACGCGAGTTGCGTAGTGGCGGCGGGAAGGGCGGGCAGGCCCGGGCCGGGCAGGAAGGGGCAGCGCCTTCTCTGAAGTTGATGTCTCATTAACATTTGAGGGTCTCAGAGGTTAATGTGTCAGCAATTTGGTCACTTTTGTCATAGTTTAAGGCAAACGCGATGCCAGCATCTTTAATTCTTCCAGCAGTAGGGAGTGTGTGTGTATTGTAGAGCTCTAGATCCACAAAAGGATTATCTTTCCGCTTTTCAAATAGGGTTGTGGGATCTGCTATATAAAATACATCATCTCTCAAGAAAACAAAGGGCTCTGTGTGAAAAGTGAGTGCTGGAAGTGATAAAAAATTTCTCTTTCAAGTGACAGTTCAGACTATAGCAATGGTATTGATTGCTGAATCACACTGGGACAGAGATGTGAATTCTAGTGCCACAACCTGTAAATAACTTTCTGGATATATTTCTTGCTCTCAATTCCCTCATCATGGATTTAGTGGCAAAACTTGGCGCAGGTTTTCTTTACTAAATCACATGTTGCCATTTTTTTATGCTGCGTGTCTGCAAATCCAAGCCCATTTTTTCCTAGGTATTTATGAAGAAATAGATATCTGTGCTGAGGGACACACATTGAGCGGACTGACTAGAGCATCTTCAGAGTAAAGAAAAATATTTAGAAAACTTATCTCTGAGTATTCTAGGTGCTCAGCATCATAAATTATTTGTTGTGTCATGACAATAAAGTTGCATGCAAGAAGCCACTGTGGTGTCACTCCATAACTGATCATGTCTTTTATATTATTGGGAAACAAGGTTAAATAGTTGTAATGTTTCTGGGTCCTTCTTAACTGCTTCACTTTTCATATGAGCCTGTGTTAACAAATCAATAAATCTGTCACAGCAGGGAAGGGGATTTTATTTTCAATGCTATCTCCTGTAATAAGCTAATAAATCTGTGTCTGGAGGTGAGTAGACATGCCAAGTAATTGCAAAGTTATTGAAACTTTAAGCGTTAGATTATTTCTGGGCAAACTGCTCTATAAGTCTGTATGTTTTAGAGAGCCTAGCGAGTGATGTGAAATGGATTTTGGGGGTCCAAACGAAGGCTTTGGAGCACCTGAGGTAATAAAACAATCTTGGGATTTTGTAAGAAAGTCGTGGAAAGCGTGGAGACACGTCTTGTGCCACCTTCAGCTGTGATTCAGCAAGCACAAGGGGCTGCCTGTTGAGGTTTGTACCGGAGCAGCCCGGCCGGGGCTGGGATTGATCCCAGGCACCCGCTCTCCCCAGGGAAGCGTCATCTGGCCCTTCCCTTCTCTGGTTGGTACAGAAATAGCAGTTTATTCCTGTGGACTTTGTGCTCCCATGTTGCTGGAATGTGATGTTTCCATGGAAATGCACTGAGACGCCTCGGACCCGTGTGCTCAAGCCACGGACGGTATCGGGAGGTACATGTTGTGGGGGTCTGAGCTCTCCCAGAGGGAGAGAGCTGTGAGTTACGATAACCATTGGCCCCTGAGTGATGAATTTTCCTTGTATTTATACATCAGCAGTTAAATAACGCAAGCCTTGAGAAATACAAATCGCTTCAAATAAATTTCTGAGTGGGAAGGCAAGACAGACACCATTCCTGGAAGACCATGACAGGCAGCATGCAGATAATAAAGTCTCTAAAAAGAGCTGCTCCTGTGCTGCATTTCTTTCTTCTAGGACTCTAAAATAATCCCATAAATGGTGTTTGGATCCTATAAGATTCAGTATTTGATTAAATACTCTACGACGAGTTGCAGTGTCACAGACTCCTAATTCCTATTTAGTCTCTTTCCTTCTACAGGGTTCAGAAGAAAAGAAACATTTAAATAGGAAGTTTATGCTGAAATAGGTGATTTGGGCCCCTTTGAAAACGATTGAGTCGTAATGAAGTCAGTAGAAATTTCAGTTGAGGTAAGCGAGCTTTGGAGCAGATTGTCACCCATGTTGAACTGTGAAATGAGCTGTTGTCACATCTGCCTGATTTCAGTCATCTAGGTTCGCCGCTTGTATCATCAGGGGGGCTCCCAGGGAGCAGTTTTAAGCCATTCACTTGGAGGCGTGCACGTCTGCACTCTAAAAAATAATATTTTGGCCCAGCTCAAGGTCTGGTGTGGTGCAAAGATCTTTTATGGAAGAAGCAGGGGCAGGTTGTGTAGAGAAGGGAATGTTACAAGCAAAGCATAGCAATGTCCATGGGACACATTAAAAGTCCTCATCAGAGGCTGCAGCTGGACTCAACTTTCTTAACGCCATCAGCAAAATGAACAGAGGAGCAATTTGGGTTGAGGATGAGAGAGGCAAATTATTTCCCAGGCAGCTGTACTGGTCCCTGCACCAGGTGCTAAGCTTTTATTTTACATGTTATTTTTGCAGTAAACATGTGAATGATATGCCTGAATGGAGCTCAGTCTCTTTGCGTCTTGAAAAGGACTTCTCCTTTTGCCATGTGAAGTAGTCGGCTCATTTTGTGCAAAACTTTTGAGAACTGGTGAGCAGAAATTCTCCTGTTGTCTTCTTTGGTCACAGCACCATGTTGTGGGGGGATACACAAGCTGGACCTTGACAGGCTTGACAATACTGGCAGCAAGTTTGTCTGCTTGCTTCCTGGTTTCCAACTGTTTGTGGTTTATTTTTTTCTACTGCTTTTTCCTCTTTGAATTTGCAGGTAAAAATGGCTGCAGAAGAGAAATGGAAAGGCTGTGCTTCGAAACAGGATAATGTGGCTGAACAGGCAGGTGGAATGGAACCGTGTGTGCTTCTGGGCCAGCGGCTGGGTGAACCGGGAAGATTTGCTTATGCGGCACTTTGTGGGATATCCCTGGCGTGGCTGTTCCCTGAAAAAGAGCAAAGGTACTACACGGGGTAGCAAGGGGTGAGCAAAGGAGGTGGCTTTTGGGTAGCAGCTTGGATGGAGGCGGTATCAAACTCTGGGGTCTTCTGAGGTTAGGGGAGTGGAAGATCCTTTTGATGTTCAGTGTTTTCTTAATTGTATTGACTTTCTCTCTGACACCTTTAAGACTTTTATACTTCAGCACAAACTGCATCCCTTTATACTGCAGACTTCAAAGCATGTACTGAAGAAAGGTCTAGCTCCATTCAGATTGCTTGCTTGTTTGTTTAGCCAACTTGTGTAGCCACTCAACTTCTGCTGACTTCTTATGAGGCTTTGATTTTTTGTGTGAACAGCAACAGATCAACATCTGAAAGCAGGAATCACTCAAAGTTTGCAAAATACCCAGAGCCTTAACTGCTACTGTTGCCTTACAGCTCCTTCAGGACAGAATTCATTGAGGCCTTTGTGAAATGGCTGGACCTGCCCGATGATGTCTTGCCTGCCATGACAGCATTTGCTAGTGGCTTAGGAGGTGAGGGCACAGAAACTTTTGCCCAGATTTTGCTGAAGGATCCTGTTTTGAAAGAAAATCCAGTTGTCATTACCCAAGTAAGTTCATATGCTCCCCTCACTCTTGTTTGCTTTTGCAAGAGATTTGTTATACCTGTCTGTCTGCAACTGAAGTTCTGTTTGTACAGTCAGGGAAGTAAAATCAATATTTCTGATATACATATATTTCTGAGTAGCTGTGTGGGTGACTGGCAGTCTCTCTATCCATTAACAGCTCGTGGAAGTGATGAACATGAGGCACAGTTACTGTCTGTTGAATTAATGTTTTGTGTCTTTGACACTTTTGCTCTACATAGCAGAGAACTGTCAAACTTTTTACTTTCACTGTATTATTGCAGTGGTTTTGATTCATATGTGCTGTCTGCAGATTTTGGTGAAACGCTGAACACAATAGACCTGATTTTCATTTGTTTAAAAGCCACATCATCATACCTATAATACAAAACACTTCTACGTACGTGCTCCAAATAGCACAATTTCCAGAGTCTTTTTTCCAGTGTCAGCTTTGGCTGGAAGGAAATAAGTTGTTGTGACTTTTATTTTTTTTCACTGAGAAGGTGAGACAGGGACAATTCCATAGTGATCTCATGTAAAAGCTGACATAAAGATAAAAGAGGTGAAGCATTTCGGTGGCGTTCACCTTTTGCTGCAGAGTCTTAGCTGGGGAGATATCTCCTCAGCCAGCCTCACCTTACGCTGTGCAGGGTGGAGAGCATGGTAGGCTGCTGCTGATGCCACACATAATGTGGCCACTGTCACCTTGTGCCCTGCAAGGATCCTGACGAGTCCTGCATGCAGACAGTACTCTGATATTGAGTAGTAGTTATAACACGCTCACCCGACAGACCAGCAGATGTGAGAACACACCTGTGTAAATAAAGATCTGATAGGAGCAAACTTTCTTGGTCATCGTGACCAGCTCCCTTTGTCTCAGCCATCTTTCATGTCTCCTAATCAGTCCATAAAAGGCTTCAGAGGACCTGCTCCAAACATGATACAGTGCCCAAAGTCCTGTAACAACATGAGTACAGCGACAGAGAATCTTAATTAATAAATTTGGACAGCTCTTCTAAAATAAGACCAGCTGTTTTGATGTTGTTTGTGCAAAATCAGTAAATCCATGCTCTGTTCTTTCTGCATTTAAATGGCTTAGTGTTTCCCAGGTTGTTTCCCTTGTCCTCTCTGCTTCAGGATGGATTCTCTAGATTTAGACGAGTCTTCCTGCATTGCTTCTGAGCTTATTAAGGGTGAGATTTTGGTTAAATTTAGCTTGTGCTTGCTCTGAGCTTATGTTGCATAAAGGGCTCCATGTGCTTTTACAAAAGTGGCTCTGGATCAGTGGGAGCAGCAGTATTTTGCTTTGAGCCAGAGAACTAAACCACTTATCACTTGGATTCAGGTGGATTACAGAAGCTGTAGATAACAATTCTTTGATTAGTTAAAAGCAAAGATCAGGAATTGCTATCATGCAATGCCACAACATCAGTACCTTATGCAGGCATGCCCACATAGGGCAAGGTGATTGATTTTGTCAAAGGAAAGATAGAATTAAAGACTTTTTGTAGAGGAAGGCAGCAGAGGTAAAGCACACTGGTATGTGGGAAACTTCAGCGTCTCGAGCCGAGATCAGCCCTTCTTACCTAAAAATAAACAAGCGATGGGACAAAGCTTTGTGAATTCTTCCTATGTTGCTGTACGGTGCTTTCAGCCTCTTTGCATTCAGCTGCCACTGACGCAACATTTATTGTTTATTTAACAAGTACACACTTCAGTTGCTCAGCGTGTTCAGTGGCAGGGTCCTCTTGGCACCAATGCCTGCATTTTTGAATGTCCTCCCATCTCAGAGGTGCTGACAGGATGATACATGAGGTCAGGAGATTAGAGGTGAACTCACCATTGACTCAATGAAAATGTGAGGATTATGGATTTTTATCTTTGTTTGCATTCATTGCGGATGACTAACACAGGCAAATGTTGGTTAACTGAATCCTTTAAGGACAGTAATCATAACACACAGACTGTGGGTGCAGCATGAGAAGGCAGTGCAACAAAAAGAGGTGAAGAAGTGATGAAAGGTGAGAAAATGTTGAAGGTTCTTATGAATTTTTTTTTTTGCTCTGCACATACTTAGAATGCCCATTTTCCTGTGTTTTTCTGTACACATCCACTGCGATATGGATTGGATGCTTGCTGTTGAGGAAATGGGTTTTGAACTTGCAGCAATTGATAAAAAGCTGGCAAAGACTGAGTAAAAGTTGCTTCCGTTTCTTTATAAGGTTTCTCAGTCATATGGGTGTTAGTCCTGTGCATAGAGTTCACAGGGAAATTCAAACCACCAACTTCAAAATAAGACTGAAACATAATAACTGCTGCTTAGAGGAGGAAAACAAACTACTTGTGAACTAATCTAATCAGTGCTGATTGGATGTGCAAAGCCTAAACCAATGAGAAATCTTTGAGAATGCTAATTGGCACAGATGCAATAAAAGCAGTAGTTCCAGTTTATCACCTGATTACCTGTATCCATCCCTCACCTTTTGAAGTGCACGTCTGTAAATGCTTAGGGGAGAAAAAAGAGGTTATTTGATATTAGGTGCTGCAGATGATACTGGGCTTATCACACAGGATCCACAGCTCCCTTTGCAACACACAGGGAGAATTTATTGCCTACAAATGGGCTCTGCACAAACCAGCCAGCCTGTTCAGGAGACTGCCTGCGTCAGTCTGTAGAAAATAATGGCAACAAGGTCACAAGCTTCACCTTAGTCTAGACTTCAGGCTCTTTGCTAGGTCAACTTTCTGCTTGGAACTCCCAGCCCTGGACCTTCTGCTGGGCTTTGACACCTCACTGCCAACCCTTCCCCACAAAACTGCAGCCAGAGAGGAGGTGATGGTGCCCATGTATCTAATACCAGAGTAGTTACAGTACTCGAGCTTTGGGAAGCCAGCGTTACATTCCACCCTCTGCCTGTGGGGATTATTGTCTCTGTTTCCCACATCCAACACGCAACGTGGGGAACAGTCAGCAGCGTGTGTGCATGCACAGAATACTGACCGTGGCTGGACCTAGAAAGAAGCCCTTTTTTTTCTGCAGTATGATGATTAGGGGAACAGAGGAGCCCTGATTCAGTGATTAACTTAAATTAAAAGGGTTATTCACACACTGGAGATAGCAAACCAGGACCTTACTTTTCTTGGGTGAGCGCTCTGGCCGTTGGGATGCAGGATGGAGGAGCATGATGACTGCTTTGTGCAGAGCCCAGGCCAACAGATACCCTCTAGAAATCCTCATTCCATTATGATTTGCAGGAAAAACAAGGCTTCTCTGTGGATGGGAACAGCCACCTAGACGTTCAGCAGTAGAGATGTGTGTGTGAAAACATTAGGCAGCAGCGGAGCGAAGGTTTTGGGGTTATACCTGGTGAAAAAGCAATTGTAGGTGAGAGTTCAGCTGCCCTAATCCTTTGTTTTCCCCAGTCCTCTGCAAAAGCTCGCTTGTCCTCTATGAAATAGCAGACTCTTCTCATGTTAAAATGGTATTTGGAATTCAGGCACTTACTTTTGCCTGGATAATATCTACAGTTTGCCCTACTTCTAGTAGGAGTTGGTTAATGACGGCTTGCTCTCTGTTCTACACTCGTCATGCAGTAGGGAAAAGATTAGAGACATTTTTACGATACAAATTTTGCTTAGGAGCTTACGGGACTAATAATCATAAACTCTCTGGCAGCCTCCTACATCTTTGGCTGCATGTTTTGTGTTCCCAAAGGGCTGAAGGGTTCCCTGTAAAATTCAGCTGTGCTTTATTTGTGTGTAGGAGAGGGAAGTAGCTAGACTGAGCTAGTGCTTAATGTTGTAGTTACATAAAGAACTTAAAATGTGTCCAGTGACAATAAAAGAGGAGAACACAGTAGTAAAAACACTGGCCTCTTTTTTTATGGCTTTGTCCATAGAACCCATCTATTGGATTGATTTGTTTTTCTGATATTTTTATGGTGAAGAGCCAACACAGAAGTCAAGTACCTCAGTCTTGACAGATGGCCATAAATTTTGAGTTTTTGAGCACTTAATCCAAAAGAACTTCATGCCAGTTCAGCCTTACCACCTAGAGCTATGAATTCCCAGAATGCCAAAGAAAATAGGGGCCACTGTCTATTAGAGTAGCATTCAAATCTGTTGCTCATGTTGAAATTTGAGTATATATGATTATATGACAAGCAGAAGGCATTAGAGTGGTAGGAGGATTAGAGCCCTGTTTCTGCAAACTTTAAAGTCTGGTGTAATCACGGTGCTTTTGATTGCAGCAAGATCACTAGTAACAAAAAATATGGAATGCTTCAGCATGTACCAAGCATTATCTACTTCTGTCCAGCCATTTGTACCTGCGTGTGGAGAATGTTGTACTGGAAGCATCTGGCTTTGGTCTGTGCTGCCTTGAATGTAGCATGCTGGCTTCCCATGTTTATGAACTGACATGCTGCAGTAATTAAATCATAGTCTGATGGGTTTTCATGCCTCCATTTTGATACATCCAGGCATACTTCATCAGTTTTAACTTGAGTATTCTTTTTTTCTTTTTAGGACCTTCTATCCTTCTCTCTTAGAGATGGTAAGTTGACCTAGCGTTTGTTCTTTGTAAGAGTAATGTAGATGAGTTTACATCTGATACTTGAAAAGGCTGAAAAAGCTCAAGCTTCCTTTATAGAAAAGCAGCACAGTCTTTCCCTGCGTACCCTACAGGAAAAACAACTATTATATTAGGAATGATTGATACTACCTGTTAAAAATCGAACAACTGTTCACCTCCTTGCCTTCACATGCCATGCGTTGGCATGCAAATGTACGTGATGGTAGAAAAGTTCTGAGCTGAAATACCTGGAGTGGGGTGTTTTTTCTCCAGTGTTTCCAGGGGAGCAGGTGACCTCTTCCTTTAGGAAGGCAGTAAAGGTGTTACGAAAATGTCAGCCTAGCATATTTTTTGCAGATCGCTTGTTGCCTAAAAAGAAAAGAAAAATATTCAGGGTATAAATTCCAGACTGTCCGGTGAAGCCTATTATAAATAAATGTGCTTTCACTTGTGTATTATATTATGCATAGAACAATTTTCTGGTTTACAATCCATAACATGGATTAGTCTGATAAAATTAATGAAATAAAGACTGCCTACGGAACAAAATGTTCATTTCTAAAAGAAGCCTGTTTTATATCACTACATGCATTTAAAAAATCTCTGTGTTTTAACATGTTCTGACAGGAAGGAACTCACTGGTTGCTGATCAGCCTGTTTCACTGTATAACAAAGTACTGGTTTTGTTCTTGTTTTATTTTTAATGGAAAATTGACAAGTCAGTTATTGCAAAACTGCTTATTTTGCTAAGCTGGAATTTAAAAGAAATATATTTTCAAGCCTCACTGACTTACTGCCAAGCTGGCTAAGTAAAAAGCTAAGTTGTGTATTAGCAGACAGGAAGCAAGAAGGCTTTGAACGCGTTAAACACCTGCTTGGGCTTGCAAGATGTGGCAGATATCGGGGATGAACTGAAGATAAATACTATCCTTATTTCTCAACTAAGCACAAATCTTAGAAGTCGCATCATTAAAGCCTGCCCAAGTAGTTTGGTATCATGGTAATGATGGTAATAAATAAATAAACTTAATATTGCCAGATGCCATATTTGATCTACATGCAGTGAGTATCAGAAACATACTTTGTAGTTGAGTCTTGCTGGTATCTTCACCCACCCCTAGAAAACCAATTGCATTTTTTATCTCAGAGTGCACCAAGAACCCTTTACAAAAGACATAGCATCAGCAAGCAGCAGGTGCTACTGAAACACATGAAAAGACCAAGAGTTGGCACAAATAACTTAAAATCTGTTACATTTAAAATGTCTTCTGCTAGACAACACCTGCTTATAAGTCCAGGAATAATCATTACTGCTGTCATGTGTTGTCTGAGTGCACTGTCTACTTCTGCAGTGAAGTATAAATGCAAACAGTTGGTGATGCTGCCAGGTGAGCTGCTGTGTAGTTTTAAACTCCAGAGTCCCTCTTGTTGCCAACAAGATGAATTGACTGTAAAGGTTTTGTGTGGAGGTGCATTTTTACAAGATACCATATCTTGCATTGGTGCATAGTTGAGGTGTACTGTGTTGTGTTATCCATATATATATTTGATATTTCTAGTTAGGACTGGTCTTGCTGCAGCATTTCTCTGTTGAGAAGAAAGATGCAGTCTATCCAGAGCCTAAAGGCCTATAGCACAGAGAATGAAGACCAAAGGATTTGAGATCCTTTTTCTGCCATAAAGGCAATTACCTGGTGTAGTGACTATTCACAGGATGAGGTTTATGGGGAAGAAGGATTTTCCATTTATCACTCTCTTCTCTAGATAGTAGGAGTTGTCTTCAGATACATGGAAGAAAAAGAGGGCCTGAGAGAAGGAGCTATACTTGGATGTGACGTGGTCCTCTAGCACAGCTATTTAATCGGGTGTGATGCAGACTGACTGATTTCCTGGGCTTCCCTGTGTTGAAGGGTACTATGATGCTCGAGCGAGAGTGTTGATCTGCCACATCACCTGGCTGCTGAGAATCCCCTTGGAGGAGCTTGAAGTCCTGGAGGAATCTCTGCTTGAGAGCCTGAAGGAACAAAAAGAGGAAGAGTCAGAGTAAGAACATTTGGGTTGACTATGGGATGAAAAAACACTGCTGGTGCTTGAAAGCTTAGCAGTAATTACTTGTGCCTAAGTCCAGTCTCTGATCATTCTCCCCATGGCTCTTAGCGTAATCATTTATGGCTTGATTAGGGCTGCAGAGCCCTCACAGCACTTCAGCTGCACTGAGAAGCAGGAAATCTCAGCGTTCTTAAAATCAGAGCTGAGACCCAACCTTGCAAGCTGGTAAAGGCTCCTCTGCCCTGAACTGCCTTCTTTCCTTGTTCCAGCTACCTCTCCTAGACAGTAGATTATGCTTAAACACATCACAAAGATCTTGTGCCTCTTATCTCTGGGCCCAATATTCTTCAGATAGAAGTGCCTCTTGCAGATTGAAGTTCATATAAGTTTCAGGACTAGATCCTCAGCTGCAGATTTTCTATGGATCTGCCCTTCCCTGCGCATATTAAGAGACAGCTGTCTAACTCCTATTGAAGGTAGATTTCTGAGGGCAACAATCTGCACCTTCTGATACTTATGAACCTGACTCCTAATTCTGTGTTACTAATATAAGATTAATTATCTTAATCACCACTTCTTAGATGTGAAACAGCCAAAAAGTTGGTATCTATGTGAAATGTAGTATTTTTATATTCTGCTTATCAGGCAGGAACTGTACAAAGGTTTAGCAATATGTAAAGCAGTAAACATGTTTGTAGTGGACTTTCAAGGGATCGTTTAATATTTTTATCTCTCAACTCAGCAAACAGGTTATGAGATTAACCCGAGTGCTAATAAAGACTTTAATTAATGTCCCTGACACAGTACAGTTCACACATTACCGTGGGGTCCAGCATGTGATGGGTATCTTTCAGTTATAGCTTTATTTAAATAAAGCTTAACTTTATAGTGCACTGTAAAAAGGGAAAGTCAAAATAATCTCAGAGATCATGAACTACTAAACAGGACACCATTTGGCATGCAGGGTAAGGGTTGATATTAATGGGGACTGTTTTAGTGCAGGAAAACACTGATGCTGTGGGTGGGGTATCGCTCACAAAGATGATGCTCCACTACCTAATTCTGTATCCACTGGACTGTGGCTCCTGTAACAACCCAAAAAGACAGATAATGGCAAGAGTGACGGGTGAATTATGCTGCAGGCTTACCAGCCCAGTGGGTTTTGTGCATAGCTGATGTGGGGAACGCTGTGGATTTCAATCTTATTCTTTGCCCGAGTTGCAGCCGTGGAAGTAAATACTTGTTAGATAAAAGGAAGAAAAATCTTTATAGTGAGAGGAGTCCAAGACTGCAGTGCGGACACATTTGTTATTGCAGTGCTAAAACAAGGCTGAGATTTGTGGGGAATCGATGACCCTTTGTTTGTTTTCAAATTAGGTGGCAATGGGGGAAGGAAGCAGAATATAAACCTGTCACAGCTTTGACCTCACAGACTTTTGGGGCATTAATGGGTAACATAATGGGTACATTAATGTCTGCTTAGGATACTTCCAGCTTTGACCATCCACTGCAAGACGTTTTGGAACAGTAACATTCAAACAGGATTTTGGCAGCTTCTGCACAGGTGTTTTTTACTGATATTTATTAATGGAAGGTTTTGCTCCTGCCTTTGCTGCTGTGTGTGTGTTGGACTGTGGCCCGGAACATGCAAGGTTAAATGTACAGTCACTTACAGAACAATGCTCCAGACACTTAAATCCATATTACTAGCACCAAACACGTTCTAACTTGCAGGTGTGAACCTCTCTTTTGTACACGGTTGTGTAAGAAACTGGAAAACATGCCATCAGTTGCTCACTAACGTGTAGTCCTGGCACTTTACATCATTGGAAAATGACCTAAAATTCCACCTCTAAAATCTCTCTGAACGTAATTTGTGGTTCAGGCAAGAAGCTGCATATCCAAGATCACTGAGAGAAGTACCAAAAGAGGCAGTTAATTACCACAGGGGATAAAAAGCAGTCTGGTAATCAAGTGATGATTGTAATGCAGAAGCTATTAGGAAAGCAACTGTCAAAAGCAGTTGCTAGCAGCTGCGGAAGGAAAGCAATGACAGGTAAAACTTCTGATGGCAGTAGTTCTACTTACGGCATCTTCAGGCAGGATTTAGCTGCAAATTGTCTTTCTACCCACATAGCTTTAATTGCTCATTATTGCAACTAACGCCAGGTTAGCTGTATTTCATCTCAATGTCATTATATTTTCAGCCTGAGACAACAGCACATTCACTAGAAAAGCTGATGAACCACTGCGTAGAACAGAAATTGCTGGATGTTGCCAACTTAGGTATTAAGTCAGACTGCAGCGCTTGGTTAAGGAGCTCCAAGAGCATTTTTTTCCAAAGCCAGGCATTCAGATTGGTGACTGCATGCACGAACCAGGGCATATCCAAATGCTGCTTTGACCATGGGGCTGTAGAAAGTGAATTTGGTTATACAGAAATTGCTGAAAAGGCAGCTGCTGCAGGCTGCACTGTTCTCTGCAGACACTGACGCTTGCAGCTGCAGAAGGTAATACACAATGGTTTTTGGGGAGGATCTCTGTGGAGACAAAGTCTCCGTGCCATGCAAGTCAGTGGGAGTTCTGCCATGGGCTTCAGCGATGCAGGGATTTCGCCCACTGTGCTCCATTCTCCTCCTGCTGTGCTTTACAAAGCTGCATATTGTTTGGGACTCATCTAAAACTGTCTTTATCAAAATTACAGTGTGCTTAGGGAGTTCCAGGAAGGATTAGGCAATTATATGGATAATGAAAATCCACAATTAGGCTAGGATTAAGAGGGAAAATATCCAAGTTTGGAAAGAAGATAAATTCTCATGTTTCAAGGCCCAGATTAACTGCTGCGTAAGCAGGCTAGAAGGAACCTTCCTCTGTAAACAACTTATTCCAGTATCATCTGTTTCTCACACTTTCCTCTGATGTGGGAAGTTTTTCTCGTAAGAGAGAAACCAAAGACAACAGAGAGAAGCCAAAAGTAGTGCCTAATAAGTGATATTTGTTCCTTTTAGGTTTATTTACCTGCTTCTGATAAGCTTGTTAAAATATAGCTTAAATATACACAGACAAATGAACTAATGACTGTGTTTAATACCTATTATATTATTATATTGTGATGTGCAATTAGAAAGCAGCTCAGTATAAACACTGTTGAAAAATAGTTTAATTCCATCTCTTTGTTAGCACAAATTACCCTTACTCCCTTTTGTTTCAAACACTTTTCCCTGTTTCCACTTAGCTTTCTTCTGTTTTTTTAAAACACATTGGCAGTATGTAGTTATTGAAATGCTTTTGACTTTTTGTTTCTTTTTTTACAAGCTTCAGCCCTATTAGGAAGGGGTTTCCAAGTAAGTAACATCTGTTGGCTTTTGTCAGCAATTAAATCGTTTCAATTTAAATCTGTGGGTTTATGTCCATGCTCATAAATCTGAGTGTGTTGTCACAGTCCACACCTGCACGTTACTTTTTACTGTTCCCAGTAGGGAAATTACATTGAGGAGAATAAAAGCAGATTCTGATGCAGCACTGTTACCCGTCAGGCTTTTTCCATCAGCTTTTATACTTCTAATCCCCCCGCAGAACTGCAGAAGTATCAAGAAAAAAGAAGGAAAGAAGAAAAAAGCTGAAGAGGTACCTGCTGATCGGTTTGGCAACCGTTGGGGGCGGAACAGTGATCGGTGAGGCTGCCCCAGGCATTCTGCAGGCTTGCTGCTGAAGTGCATCACAGCACTAGGGGCAGGGTGGGGGTTGCTGAATTACACATTCAGCAAGAGAAGCCATCATACCTTTTAGCCCAAGCTGTAATTTTAAAGCATTTACTGCTTTTCTTTGCCAGGCTGAAGGTATTATGTCACTTCAGATACCAAAAAATCACCCCAAACAAGCAAACAGAACAAAAGAACCCCCCACACACACCTCCACAAAAATGAAACCCCAAATCCAAGAGAAGTATTTTCAGCCACACAAAAGTAAAACTGAAATAATTAGCTGGAAAAGTTATTCCACTGTAGCTTTACTGGCTGAGGGAAATATTAAACTGAGGTCATCACTCTTAAAAAATGTTTTCTGTTTTCTCCTCTTTTGCTCTTGTGTTATAATAGGGTCAGATCTTCAGCTCCAAATTCAGAACCGTATGAGACTAGATCAGTGTTTCCTAAGCAAAGAGAGCATAGCTTACCCCAGTCTACCACACATTCTTCCTTTGACTTTTAAATTATTCTTTATTTTTACTGAAGTCAGTCAAAGAATCTGTGCAGAGATTCAGGGTGTGGGAAGGGTCTCAGAAAGCCCCTTTATTGGTGATGCAAAAAAGACCTTTGTACTTTTTCAGTGTCCTGAGCAGTACTCACACAGCGCGGGAAAATGACTGCCTGGCTTTGTGGCAATAGCTTGGTGGTAATATTTGTTGTATCTTCAGGCTTGACAGGGGGTCTTGCTGCCCCTCTGGTTGCTGCGGGAGCTGCTACTATCATCGGAAGTGCTGGAGCAGCTGCTTTAGGCTCGACTGCTGGAATTGCTGTCATGGCATCCCTTTTCGGAGCTGCTGGCGCTGGCCTTACTGGTAAGAGAGTCACCACACGTTTCTCAGCTTACTGAGGCACAGGATCCTGGCTGCAAACGCAGAGCTAATGACTTAACTGAGCTCTGCAGAGCAAGGGAAGCAATTTGAGGTGTGGTCTTACGACTGTGAAATTATTCTTTCAAGGCTGATTAAGATACTGTATAGCCCCTCATGACCAAGTAGGAAAAGAATATTTGGTATGTGGCTAATGAAGGAAAAGAAAGCTTGCTGCTTTGCATTAGGAAGATGATGCCATGGAGAGCAGCGGCTGTTTCTTTGCCTACAGCAAAGAACCCTTCTGCTGGGATTCCCTCAGATCACAGAAGCTCAGAAGGATCATCTTGGCTCCATACCAAGCTCTAAGTAATGCATGGACTGGCTGAGGGTTTTGGAAAGGCAAAAAACCCTCCAAATTACCCAAGTTGTTTCTAACAAACTTCTACTGTTAGCAGAGTCTGTCCTTTCTGTGCGATGTCTGAGACTCATGTTTTTGCCTTGCTGTGTGTAGGATACAAGATGAAGAAGCGTGTGGGAGCCATAGAAGAGTTTGAATTCCTCCCACTCACTGAAGGAAAGCAGCTTCATATCACCATAGCAATTACTGGATGGCTGTGCGCTGGCAAATATGGTAAGAACAAGATGAGGAAGCTGAGAGGAGCCTGGAGAACCATGTCTGTGTTCCACTCCAGGCAGTGTTTGTGCTCTCGTAGCACCGTGTCTTCCACACGCTTGCATGGCCTATTCTCTAAAGAGATCAACTCCTAACGTAAGACTTCGTAACCCAATCTGCCATCCCAATCAAAACAGAGGAAAGAGAGAGGGCGGTAAATTGGTGGTGATAGTAGGATTGGTAGTAGTCATAGCAGGATTGTTTCTGTTAATAACTGCTGTCTGGTTTTGCTAGGAAAGGTCTGTTTGGGGTGGAAGATTTCCAGCACTAGTACAAAGTGTCTCACCTATCTCTGAGACCTTATGTTTATCCTCCAGCAATTAACAGAAAATAGTGTCTTTTTTCTTTCTCGGTATCTGCCAGATAATGAGGTTTATTGGCAAGAAAGTTCTGTCAAGTAAATCCTGTTAAGCACAGCACTCAGGAGGTGAACTTAGAGGCAACAACCTTGAGAAGTCTGCAATGTTTTAGTTTCCAGTATAGCTTGTCATATAACATATGTCAACTGTCTGCTGATGTGTTCAGCAACCTGACTGAACAGCTGCCAATTTATTCAGAAGCATCATGATTAACATTGGCTATCATTAATGCAGAAGGATGTCTCTGCCCTGTTGCTTGTTAGGTTGCAGCTTGCTGTCAGAGCAAGGTTATTTTCACTTTGCAGTACTGTGCTTTGGCTTTTCTCATTGTCTGCTTGCCAGGGGTCCAAATCCTTGGGGTTGGAGCACTCCCAGGCACTGTTATAAAGACAAGTGTGTCCCTTCAGGAACCTTTTTGTGTCTGTTTGCCCTTAAAAGGGAGTTACAAGTGACACACATTCTTCTTCCATAACTAGCAATCTGCTGTAATGTTCAAAAAGGCAAAATTAGAATTGTTACCCATTCTCCTCCTTACAGTTGTGTCTGTCTATTTACACACTTGCATGACTCCTTAAAACAGAGGGACTGAGGACAGGATTTGTAGGGAATTTGCTACCTTGTGATTTTTGGAGCTCTCAGTAGCTGCTCATCTGTACGTTCACAAGTCTGACAGTACACTGTGGTGGGATCTGGCATGGGGCTCTCTCAGGCCACTTTGGTCAGCAGTGCCTCAACCTGCCCTGCATTGTTTGGGGAAGGAACAGTGTGGGAAGGGTTTTTGTTAATTAAAATAAAAAATTCTTCTCTGCCCTGCAGAGTTCATCTGCCATTAATAGCCTTGCCAGGCCACTCCTGGCCTCTTAGTACAAGGTACACTACAAACAGGAGAGAGTAAGGCTTAAAAATTGTTTTTTCAGCCAAAAATTAGACTTGCACAGCAGAAATTATCCATTATTTCTCGAACATCCAGGCACTGCTTTTGATTAGCACCTGGAGGGAAAAAAAATAAACTGAAGTGTTTTATGAGGCTAGATGGCAAAGTATAAATAGTTGCAGTCAGGATCTGCAAATGCAGATTCCTTGTTTTCTGACAGGGCTGTTGCTGCAATCCTTGCCCGACTAACTGAAGTGCTGGGAAGATGCTCTGTGATAGATTTTGACAAGATCTTACATGTTTTCTGTGCTTCTGGTGCCACTGAACTCAGTCCATGCAGCCATTCAGCACTTCATCTTTCTCAGGACAGGCCTTCCTTTGGTCACGATGAGAAGATGGAGCTGCTGGACTTGGCCTGCTGTCTGATGATGGGAGGAATGTCCTTATTACCTGACATAATTAGTGTTAATGTCCATCTGTCTTGGCAGTCTCAGAGGCAATTGAATGGGTTGTGATGTCTGAGCCTGTTCACATTGAAGACTCTTTGCCAAGGCAGCTAAAGCTTCACGATTATTTACAAATTTTTATATATTGTAAAACAGTGGAAATGTGGAGTCTATCAGTATTTTAAAATATGATTCCTCATTATCACAGTCTATTAGTATATTCTCCTGTCCTGGCAGTTCTTTTCAGATTCTTTCTTGGACTGATCTTGCCAGGAGTCAGCTGTTGTTGTGTTCTCTCTGAACATGAATTCCATCTTTGCAACCTTTCTCAGGGAGCTTCACAGCACCATGGAGCAGCTTGTTGCAATCGAGTGAGCAGTATTGTCTGGCCTGGGAATCCAAGTACTTGATGGAGCTTGGCAACGCCTTAGACTCCCTGCTGAACGGTTTTGTGAACATGATGGCTCAAGAAGCCCTAAAATTCACTGTATTGTCAGGTAAGAACCTAAATCGTATCAGACCTGCTTGAGTGGCTCTTGTGCAGTTCCACTGTTGGTGTCTGTTTAAAGGAGCTTTCCAAAGCAAGGAACATTTCTGAGAAGACATCTCCCTTGGCACCGCCCTGCAGAAGTGGCCTGAGAACCTTCTTTGCCACACCTGTAATTTAGATTTGCTTTCCTGAATTGCTGACCCTCTGTGTCATTGACTTCGTTCTTTTAAAATTACAGCTGGAAACACCTTCCTTCACGAGTGACTGTGTTTATTTCTCTATGTTATTACACTGGTTTACTGCTTTACATAAACCTTTCAAACATGCAGGTTACATTCATGCATGGCGTCTGTTTGCCTCCGTATCAGAACATCAGATTCTTTCTTATCTTTAGTCTAGCAAAACATTTCTCAGATCAGCTCTTGAGAAACAAGAACTGGAAATGACAAGAGGTCCTCAGTTTAGCTTTTAACTTCAGTGAACCCTCTTGCTTCTGACGTTTCCTAAGAGCAGCCCAGATCTGTGACTGTGCTGTGCTGTTTGCTTTGTGTGTTGCAGGTATTGTGACGGCCTTGACTTGGCCAACTTCACTCTTGACTGTTGCCAGTGTCATTGACAACCCTTGGGGAGTGTGTCTGCACCGGTCTGCTGAAGTAGGCAAACACCTAGCACATATCCTGCTCAGTCGACAGCAGGTAATTAGCTAGAAATTATCCAGGAATAAAAACTGGAAGGATTTTGCCCATGGAGGTTAAATTTTATAGCCATGCTAGGTAACTATCAAGCGGGATCTTTTAAAAAAAAATAATAATGAACTGAAAAATGAAAAAAGGTGACCAGCATGTATCTGGTTCATTGAGGAAGAATAGGCAGGCCCAGCTGAATCAGAGAAATCCTGCTAAGATTTGTTCCTTTTAACCTAAAGCTGTTCTAAATGAGGAAGAGATCTGGGTCATAAATGGCAAATGGCTTGATCGTGTCACCAACCAGCCAGGCCAACTCACTTATTGGAAATTTAAAAAAGTAAAGATAGGTGAAAAGAAAAAGAGAATACAGAATGTTAAAAATATTTACTGATAATTAAGAGGCATTAGCAAAACAACATCAGAGAAGACTGTGCAGCAGTAGATGCACCGTGAGCCATGCTTTTGCTGACAGAGAAGTGGAATGGGCTGGCACCTGAAAGAAGTGACAGAAGTTATTAAGCCTCCCTCAGAAGGTTTGCAAAAGACATTTCTGTCCCCCCAAAACCTGCCATTATTCACAGGGCTGTCACTGGCATGGAGGGAGGCTGGGTTTTGCTGGCCACGTGTTTCTCTCACAGGCATACTAGTCCAGTATCTGTTACAGAGGAGCCCTGTGGGAGCCACGGCCCCAGAGCTCCGTGTCATAATCGTGTGAAACAGCAGAGTAGAAACAAACTTGACTTCTCATAAAAATACAATCCCAGGAAAAGCAATAAACTTTATTTCATACAAGCCCTTTGTTTCGCTTGGGGGCATTTATTACTGCCTTTTAAGCATTTGCTATTGTGAAAACATGCATTCCAATGTGCTGGAGCATCTAAAACTAATTGTTAGTGTGATGTCTAGGGAGTCCACCACACACCTGCTCCCTGGTTAATACAAAGACCATTTTTCACTATTGTTGAGATGAGGCTCCCTTTGATTTTATAGAAATCTTATTAGACTATTCAGAACAAAAGCTTACCCCACATAATTTTTTTATAACAGCTACACAGTGCTGCTGTCATTCTGTCTTAAATCTAGAGATGGTCAATATTTTTGTGTTACAGTTTCTTTTTCTGTTTATTTGAAACATTTCTGGGAAAGTTTTGCTCCTTGAATTAGGTTTTCATTTGGAAATTTCAGAACAATGACACCATTGTATTGTTTCTGTTTGAAACATCTCCTTTGTTGTAACTTCTGATCGTTAGATTCTTTCAACTGATTTTCCGAATATCAAAAATACAAAATACTCAGGTATGCAGAATTCTCAATATTGAACTGTGCATATTGAGGATACATAATTCCTTTGAAATCAAATTGCTCAAATGTTTAAAAGATCATGCACAAGCATAACTGCTTTGTGTATGAGGGTCTCTGGGATCCTGCGGCCACTCTCTAAGTCTAGAACAGTATTTGATGGCTTTTTTGTTCTTCCTTCTTTCTTAGGGCAAGCGACCTGTCACACTAATTGGCTTCAGCCTGGGTGCAAGAGTCATTTACTTCTGCCTGCAGGAAATGGCTCAAGAAAAAGGTAAAATTCACCTTCTAACCTTTTTCTCCTTTATTTTCCTTACTGCTGGTAGAGAAGTTTTTCTTCCATGGGGAAGGGTTATTCTGGAATAGAGCTTGGGCCTTTTAGGATAAACCTAAAAAAAAAAAAAAAAGTTTTGAAATACGTTTGGAGCCAAATTCTACTGTCATTTCCACCATTTCAGTGGATTAAATCCGCTGTCTTCACTCGAGGTGCTCCAGTGTGTCAGTTTGGTCTCCAGTCTGTAAACAACAACTTGACATTTTGTGACATTCGGCTGCTAGATCAGTCTGTGAGCTGCCCACACGCCACTGTGATCTTGGCAGAGGATGCTTTGCCTTTATTGGAAGCTCTCTGTAGCTATTGTATCTGATTCCCTGAGTCCTCCCTTCCATTTAAGTCATTGAAATGCCACTGTCATCTGCTATTTTCATGGTAATTTTCCCCCAAAGTCAAGTATAAAACCATCTGTCAATTTATTACCCATTGTGGTTCTGTTTATTAATAGATTCTATTTTTAATTTAGAAAAAGAATAAAATCATTATGATCAGTTGATGTAAATTGCATCTTAGAGTTGAGTCAGTAGTGAGTGTGCGCGTGCAGCCTGCCTTCCCCCCTACATAGCTAATTTAATTCATTAACCATTTAGCCTCACAAAGACTCCCTAATAAATAAGGAGATTTGTACAGGAAAATTCTCAGTGAAGTCCAAGAAGGTGGGAATAGAGTCAAGTGAGGACGAAAGTCAGCATTTTTTCTGTTGACAGCTGTGTACCAGAACTTCACTTCTGGTTTAAGATGGAAGTCCTCAAATACAGGAATTCTGTTCTCAAAATAAATCTAATCAAATCCAGAATGATCCTAACGGAGTTATACTGAAGCCAGAACCCAGATCCTAATCTGGCCCTAGATCTAATCTTTTTGTGTCCTGAGAATGCCAGGGGCTGAGATATTTTCAAGCTTTCATTTAATGGTCTGCAGTCTCTTGCTGGAATAACATGGGACCGTAGCAAAGTAATACATGAAAGGAAATCATTAGGGGTCTTTAAGGTTGGCTGCCAGTCTAAAGAAATCTAAGCATCATAATTATGTATCATAGCAGCTCCCCACTGTACACTAATTTTTCAGTTCCTTAATTGAATTATGAAAGCTGAGCTGTTTGTGAGATGAAAAGCAGCATGTTTAGTGCAGATTGCCAAGGCGTTCTTCACATGCACATTCCAGCACAAGCCACAGAAGGAATGGAGCTGGGACCTGGGACATCTGAGACTGATTGGGGTTTGGACTTGGATGTCTCACACAAAAGAAATACAGGGCCTAGTCATGCAGGCCTTTTGTATCCAGATGGCAGTGGCATTTCTGAGGACAAATAACTAATCATGGATTATCCAGTGAAACACCATGGCAGAAACTCAAATTCTGTTAAACAAAAATACTTTTTCTGCAAAGAAATTAAATAACCATTGGGATACTTCATCACAAATGACTTTGGAAGCCAGAGCTTAGTAGGTTTCCAGAAAATGACATTATAGCAGAAAATGGAGTAATGACCCATCAGAGATGAGTTACTGCATGGGAAGATCATTGGTCTGATTTCTTCATCACAATTCTTGTGCATTTTAGTAAATAAGAAACGTAAATTAATGAAAACTGATACTGGCTGTTACCACCAGAACCTGAACCTTGAAACCAAACTGTGTGTGATGGGAGCGAGGTATCACCCATCACGTATTTGTCTAATACTGATCACCGGATCCTACAAAATTGCTTGTGTGACTGGTATCACTGCTGGGTTATCACCTCTGCTGTGGTTAGGAATCAGGAATACTGCTGCCAGACTCTGCCATGAAACACTGTCCTTGCTCTGTGTCTGTACAGTGCCCAGAGAGAGCTAAATGCCACCCCTGTTCTCTTTTCAGTGAGGACTAACATGACGAGACACTTTCCTCTTTGCCCAGTGAGTTGTACCCGAAAGGCACAGCAGAGCCCAGCTCCCGAGGACTGTTTGTTGCCTCTGGGTCAGCTTGTAGTTTCCACAGCTTTTCTGCATAAATCATCTTACCAGTTTTAAATTTTTGTCCATCAGTAATTCCTTTTTTTTTTTTTTTTTCCTTCATTTTCCTACTTGTGCGGACTGTATTGTTCTCCATCGTATAAAAGATTTGCAAACTGTGAAATTATTTAATTTATCTAGAGTGTCAGCAACTATGTAGGCCAGTGATCTGTTCTCAGGTTTCTGTCCCCCTCTGTCAACATCCAAAGAAAATGAGTATTTTTCAGCCAAGGCTGAACATTTTTGTTTTGAGCAAGAAATAAGCTGTACAAAGGAATGGAGAAACAAAAGCTTCCAATACATTGCCCAAATGTTCAGGATCTTGATGAATTAGCTGTTTGTTTATGCAGTTGGCTCACACTGTGGCCATGGAATTTAGTACCTTGGTTGGAACGAGATCCCCGTTTGCAGGGCTCTGGGTTTCTTTTTCATTGCCCGTGATCATTGGAACAGGACTTTATTGCTCACAGATTACACTAACAAAATTGAATTACTCTTTGCTGTTCTCTCAATTGATGCAAAATTTGCTTTGCAATAAGAAATAATACCATGAGAGCTCTTTTGGATTGTTGTCAGGCACTGGGATTTACACTGCAGAGAAAGGTGCAGGCACTGCAGGCAGCTCCAAGCCGTTTACTGCTGTTAGGGAAAAGAAACCAATTGGTTTATGTTTGAAACGTCTAGCCAGGCAGCACCTCTCCATTATAACTTGATGTGGTATGCAGTCATTCTCACTTTCACTTCCCCCTAAACTCCAGCATATTATTTTACAAATCTCAGATGGCAGGCTGAGAACGGTTCAGCTCACGCCTTGTGCACGCTGGTCTCCCACAGGTGGAGAGCCTGGCTTTGGTGAGCTATGCCCGTGAGTCTCCCAAGAGAATGGGAATGTCATTTAACTGCTGTGGCACCAGGTGCTTGATCTCTCTTTACAAAGATTTATTAATAGATATAAATATATTGTTTAGGAGTTTAAGAAAGTAGCAGAGCTGCCCAATATTTCACATTCAATCATTATTTCTACTGAAATACCCCAGCCGCAGCTGTCTGATAAGAGGTGAAGATTTATTATGCTTCAGTCATCATTCCTTTTCAGCAAGTCATGCCCTGGGCATTCCGTAAAGTACCCTTCAAGAAAATCAGATCAGTCTGATAGATTATCACTTTGTGTTGGCAAATGACTCCGTTGTTGCCAGTTCCCAATCAATACTATGAATTTGGGGGGGGTTCTGTTGCGTGTACAGGTCATGTTTTTCATGAACTCAGCTCTAAGGACTGGTTGTGGGAAAAGTTTATCATGCTTAATATGTGACAACATTTGCTCACTATATAGAATGTCAGTCCCTGTCACCTGTATCAAAGCTCTGTGCAAACCCAGATCAATAGGCCTGGGGAAAGAACTTCCCACAGGTTTGTTGCTTGAACTGCATCTTTTTGGACACAGGCCTAGCCACCTCTCCCTCTTGACATCAACCCAGTTCCTTTCACTGTCACAGGATCTTTAATTTTCACATTTACTGATTCTGGCTGGAACTGCAGACACTTAACATTTATGCAGAATGCTGTTTAAGATCTTCCTTTCCATTGTTTCTGTCTTTAAAATTTAAGTCACTGAAATGATTTTTCTATAGTGCACATCTGAACATACCCCTCCTTCATGTGCATGTAAAGGTATATTTTCTGATCTGTCTTCTAAATCTGAGCTGTTCTGCTTTCATCTTAATAGACTCTCAAGGGATCATTGAAGATGTGGTCTTACTGGGAGCTCCAGTGGAAGGAGAAGCCAAGTACTGGAAAGCTATCACAAAAGTGGTGTCGGGCAGGATCATAAACGGTTATTGCAGGTCTGTATGTGCTCAGCCCCTTGCTTCATTATCCCACTGTCACTTGGAAAGAATTTTGTACATTTACCCCTTCTGAACGTTTTGTAAGTGAATAATTGTTCAGCTGATGAGTACATTGATTCAGTAGCGCCAGAAGCAGCAGTGCCAGAGCCTTTTCCCTCCAGAGGTCTCTCCCTCAGATTAATTGGAGATGACAGTCTTCAGGAGACACTTGCAGGCTGTTCTGTCTCCAGCTCCTGGCTGTTTGCAGTGCACAGTTACACTGGAAGCCTGAGTTGCTCAACATGTAGGTCCTATTCATATGGTGGCAGTGTTATATCACTCTGGCAGCTTAAAGCTGGGTCAGTGTGTTTGTGTGCATAGTTTGAAAGATCCTAAGGCCCCTTTAAATCTCAGCTTTATGTAAAGGACTATAAATATGGCTGCTAGGTTCACTGACAGTTAAAGAATGCGAATTAAAATCTATAAAAGCTGTGAGATACAATTCACTAGGGGCTGCTTATGGGGAACAAGATGTGAAAATTGCAATGGAAGGGAAGGAATTCAGGCAAATTGAAGATTTTTTTGTATCTAGAGTCAGTTTCTGGTCAAGATAGTCCACATGAACAAGATGTTTTACTTACAAAAGAAGTACAGCTGGAATAGTTGTAGCAAATTTACTAAGGACATGAAAGAATAAAAAAGTTACCTTGAAATCAAATATCAGCCTTTTAAAACTGTGCAGACAACTGCTATGCAGAGTGTGAGAGCTGCTGGGTGAGAAGAGGGAGATTCAGAGGCATGAAACAGCTGATGCAATCTTATAAAAGCTATTAAGAATTCAAGTGACAGTATCAAATCTAATGACTGGTGTTGGAAGATAATTGTGACAAGAACAGTGCTTACCAGCACAATTAGAAGAGGAAAAATTAAAATGAAAGAATGGAGCAAGGAAGACTAAGGACACAGGAAAATAAATTGAGAAATAGCCAGGCAAGAAGATTAGCAAAGAACATGTAACTGCAAGTCTTGACAGCTTATAAAAGCCATGAGCCCTCAGGTCAAGGACAGGTGAAAATGCTGTTGGTACTTTCCAGACACACATACTTATGTATGTCTACATACATCCGTGTAAGACGAAGAAGTATTGTATCACTGTGCATCTAGCATAGTACATTACAAAGAACTAAATAAAAGAATTAAAAGCATTCAGGATTAAAACAACAAATTATTAAACCCATCTGTCAGGCTGAAAATTATTGCTTTTGTCCTTTTTTGAATCACAGGAGGTTTTATGAATGCCAAATGTGCACACCAGTTACAGTATTTCTTCATGTGACTTAAGGAAAAAGCAATTGCTGCCTCCTTGGGAGTGCTTCTGTGTTCCTCCAAGAAGCCATAAATGATAGCAATTGTTGCATATAACTGAGTTTTCCCTGGCAAATATCATTCCTCTCTGTGTTATACAAATACCAACTTCACTGCAAAAAGCTCAGTGTATTCATTTCCTATAATAAAAAAAAAATATCTTGTTATAGTTTAAAAGCCTGCATGTGCTGTTGGAATAAAATACTGTGTGTGTTTGTACCTCCATGTGTGCAGTAATTTGATTAGTCTCTGCTTTGGCAAGCCTGTGTCTTAGATGTTGAATGAAAAATGATGTAGAAATTGTAGCTTGTCGCTCACTAATAGGAAGAAGCAGGTGAGGAGACTGTTAGGAAATATTCCACTACTACTTTGCCTTCAGATGCTGGATTTGAGTTATTCAGTTAGCATGGGGGGCAGCTAGAGGAGGTAACTGAGAGATACGGAGAATTTGTGAGGATATTAGGTATGAGAGAAGGATTATACAAATACTTGTGGTAAGATCTCACCTGATTCTGATTTCTCTGGTCTCTCACTTATACAAATTGTGGCCTCGTTCTGTCACTTTAAGGAGTAGCTCTATTTAGGTCAGATGAATTACGTTGAATAGAGTTCCTGCAAGATCAGATTTGGGCCCAATTTGTTGAGCTTCAGTCCAGTGTAGCTTGTCTTCTTCGGCTTTGAAGTCTGAAAGGACATGGAGAGTGAAAGCCAGCTGTCAAGAGCTGTCCCATCTGATTTCACAGCAGTTACAAATTCCGACTGGGAAACCTTAACCAAATTAGTTAGACTTGCTCAGCTTTTGAAAAAACCCATGCCCGAGTAGCGTGGATGCATTGCAAAGATTTTGCAGAGCTCTGTGTAAACGTCCAACTTCTAGCACAGAGCATTTTGGCGTGGGCAGGAGCAGCCAGAAACGGCGTTTCACCTGCTGCCATCACAGAGTGCAAATACCACTCACATCCAACATAAACCTACTCTGTAGAGTGTACTGGTGTTTAGGTGCCCAGATTTTATGCTGTTGCTCAGTGCAGGAGAAAAACTTCTGTATTTCCAAAGGATGTGTTGCCTTCTCAACGTGCTACAGTCTACCCTGAAACTGTCACAGTGACTTATGGCAATACTTCACAGTGGGAACACACTCTTCCTAGTTCTGTCATTGAAACCACGTATTTATACAGTACCTATAAATCAGGAGCACTTCAAGGAGCTTCGCAGTCAATATTTATGTCGGCAACATTGGTATTGTAGGCCTCATCGCGTTTACCGCTGTCTACAGGCTGGGGAACTTCTACCTATTAGTACATTAAAACGATTAAATATGTGAATGTAATGCAGTCTCTAAGGAAATGCAGAAATAAATAGAAAAGTCAGATTTTTAAACCTGCTGCACGTAATGAGGCTACACCCATGAATCAGGATTAAATTCAGACTTACTGTGTCCCAGGAACCTGCCCCAAATTTGTCAACTGCTGTGATTCCAACATTGGACGAAACTGCAGCAGGTCTTGGTCCAGACGTCACTGTGCTCCCCTGCCCTTCTACTCTCCTCATGGTCTGAGCAATCACATCTTGCATTGGTCTGGCAACAGGATTTATTCACACTCTTCTTCTGCTCTGCTCCTAGGGGGGACTGGCTGCTGGGCTTTGTATACAGAACCTCTTCTGTCCAGATCAACGTTGCAGGCCTCCAGCCCGTCGACTTGGATGACAGAAGGATGGTAAACATGGACCTGTCATCTGTAGTAAGTAGTACTTCTTATATTCTCATTTTTTTTCCATCTGTCCTTCGCTTGCAGCACTGTAACTTCACACCCACTGGTTAGGGGAGGATGGGATACAGAAGAAGGCACCAGTAGGTACATCATCCCTCCTTCCTTTCTTTGAGATAACTCTCATCTCAGACTTCACTATAAATTCACAGGCGACAGGCCCAGAGGGAATGGCTTCAAGCTGCCCAGGGCAGGGTCAGGCTGGCTCTGAGGAAGGATTTTTTTGCAGAAGGGGCAGTTGGGCGTTGGAATGGGCTGCCCAGGGCAGGGGGGGAGTCCCCATCCCTGGAGGGGTTGAAGAGTCGGGCTGAGCCAGCGCTGAGGGATCTGGGGGAGTTGGGAACGGTCAGGGTGAGGTTCATGGTTGGACTGGAGGAGCTTCAAGGGCTTTTCCAACCAAGATGATTCTGTGATTCTGTGATTTTGTTGACCAAGCCAGTGCTCAGTATTGAGCAAAATAATGAGAACTTGCCTTTCTTGTTAGATATGTTTGGGTGGTTTTTGGTTCTGAAATATCTCATACTAGAGACACAAAATGCCATTATTCTCCAAGAAAGACCTCGCTGTCTGGCAAGCCCTGGATCAGCAGGTAGGTAGGATCAGCAGCTGGGGAACCTGGAGCTCAAACACCTGACTGTGGAGCAGGTGCACCCCGCAGTCTTATCTCGGCGGAGCCTTCAACACTGTGCGGGTTCGTGCAGGGGCAAGTTCACAGGCCTTGTACCTTGGTCCCCTGAGCTGCACTGACTCCCTGGTGCAGGAACCATCTATAATTACAGAAACTCTGTGATAACGATGGCTGGTTTGCTAGGTCCAGACCTGGGCTGCTGCCTTTGGGGTGTAGGTCTCCAGGAAACAGGAAGAGAATCACCTGTATGCCCGGTAGACATTTAGTTTCCTCAAAGCTAGCTGGTGTCATTAATGATAAGCCGCTATATTATATGTCCAGTAATATTCAACTCAATTACCTTAAGCAAACTAATGATCTCATTGCCTTGTCTATACTCATGAGTGAGCTTTTCCACAGAAAATCAGGCAAAACTTAGCTTGTGTATTCATATTCTCAGCAATCTCAGACATGCAATCTTGGTTTTCCATATCTTAATGTTTTAACTCATTTTTCACTGTCTGCAAACGGGACTGGAAGATACTCAGGCTACTTCCACGGTCACTGTTCCTGCCGTAACTCCTCACGAGTGTCCCCACGAGCTGGTAGGGATTGTCAGTGTTGCTTTGGAGCCAAAGGCACTTTTAAGTGTTTTCAGATTTTTTTGGAGCACCAGCCTGCTGAGCCTATAAATACCCAACTGTTACCAGCTCATTTCATTCATTATAACTGAGCTATGTACAGCCCTTGCCAGGAAACACAGGGCTTAGCACTGTACAGATAAAATAGAGACTTTGCAGAACAAATAGAGGCTTCCCAGAAGGAAGCGGTATAGCAGAGGCTTTGAAACATGGTCCGGCAGTGTAGCTGTCCTCGAGTCTTTGCACCTTACTGGGTTCTCTTGGTTAGCATTCCCACATGCTCCCACATCCATTTTTTCACTGTCCCCAGAGTTGCCATTAGTCCCTTGCAAGCAGTGACATCTGTTGCTGGTGTGAAAAGAAAAATGGCCAAAGCTGTCAAGCAGTGGTGGCACTGGGGTGACTTTTCCTGTTAGTTCAGTCCATGTTACTCTCCTCTTCTTGACTTCTCTTCAGAGACCCTCTTTCTATTGACCTTCTGCTTCCTGAGCTTTGAAACCCCCTGGAGGCCTGCAGACTTTGTCCTGCCTGGCTCGCAGCAGCCTCTATTTTTCCCCCAGAGGAGCAGTATTTACATTTCAGCTAAATGAATAATAGTTGCAGAGCTGCTAGCTGCTAATCTTCTATTGTTGTGCATCTGTATCTGTGCTGCATGATGCCAACAGACAATCCCAGTGCTGTTCTCATTTCAGAAAGAGCTGACACTTTCACTTGCTTAATCTTACTGCAAAGCATTGGGGGGAAGAAAGATCAACCCCCACAGGGGGAAAAACCTATATTAAGTAGGTGATGTTCTCTTGATCCATTTTCCACACCGTGGAGCTTTATGAAAAGAAATACAGTGCATTCTGATGAACATTTTAAAAGTAAAAGGAGCAAAAATGGGGAAGGAAGTATTTTTTAAAGTGGGAAGAAATCAAAAATGGATTTTTCTGCAAATACAGTGCAGTAGCATAACAGAAATACAAAGAGAGATATTTTCTATGATGGGGACCAGCTCCATCCCTGCAGATGCCCTTGCTGGAGGTCCCTGTGAGTGTCCCACCAGGAATAAGAAAGGACAAGCTGTGATAGAATAATAAAGCATAGATGATGCAAAGATGCTCAGCATGAAAATACTATGCAGGCAGCCTCAGTATTTTAGGCATCTCCCAGCCCATCCATGATGAAAATGGGACTGGATCCAAAGAGCTTGGTTCCCTTTGCTGTGGTAGCATCAGAACCCTCAAATGAGTGGAGGACTAAGAGACCTCAGTATAAACAGGAATTCACCTCCAAGGCATTTATTGCACGTCTCTCTTGATTAGTATGTTTTTTATCTGACTGTCAGTAAAAAAAACTGAGAGAAAAATGTCCTCCCACTCAGCAAGTGCAGTTATAAAAGCCTTCCTAATGGTTACAATGGGACTGATTTATTCAGTGGATTTATTTGACAGCACCTGTTAGAGAGACCAAGGAAGTAATTGAGCTGTAGTGTATTAGATTGATTGCTGTTTGTTCAAATGGGATATTGTAGATTACATTTTGCATTAACATTTGAATATTGCAGAAATGCTCAGAGTCAGAATGTAGGCAGAGCATTTTCATGGAGGCTCACAAGTCAAGGAGGGTGTTTAAGTTTCTCTGAGGTGTTTTACCACAGCAGAAACCAGGGATGAACAACAAGCTTAGGGGCTGTAGGAATGCCTGGCTGGAAGTCTAGTAGAGAGCAGGGATGGATCGTGACAATTATTGCAGAAGTCAGTACTGTTCTCTTGTTAGTCCAATGTGAAAATTGTTATAAAGGTATTTAGACTACGGTTAAGTTGTGCATCGACTTTAAAAGTCCTTCTTTTCCATTGCTTTCAATGCCAACTATATTCTCCTTTTCTTCTTCTTCATCAACACCGTCTGGACAGCAGCTGCCTACCTGCTGCTAGTGCTCACTAAGTCCTGTAATGGCAACACGAGGCAGCACCAACTGCGAGTAAATCCCTCCTTATTCACCCACCTGGAGTGCCAGAGCCATGCTCTGTAGAGCCCACAGACTAATGACACAAGGTACTTTTTAATCTCTAGAGCAGTCATTGCAATGGTACACCGAGAAAATATGCTGATGTGAAAACACAGCCATCTTCTCCTCCAGCGTCTCTGCACAATGGAAGGTGAAATGGCAGAGCTTCTCTTTAGAATAATCTGTATCACACATCAGCACACCTTTGCTTTTTCCCTCCGAGATACCTCAAAAGCTTTCTACCTCTTCATTTCTTTGCTGCTGTAATCGAGCAGTAGGAAAGCTCTCTTCATGACAGCGATTAAAAACCAAGAATAACTGATCTCTTTCCAAAAGCTCTCTCAGAAGAGGGGCCCAATATTCCCATTATGAGGGAAGGCAAACAGATTCCAGGCAGTCAGGCCTTCAGCCAGGCAGGTACACAGTGTACATAAATACCATAAGCAGATGAAGAGTCTGAATTTTGTGAAATCCAACTGATTTGGCACTTCTGTGAGTCAGGCTTTTTTCCCAAAACGCATTAAACTGTGTTTTTTTTCCCCTTATATTCCCAAGACTCGCAGCAAAGAATTAATTGTGGTTACAAAATGTGGATTAATTAAGAACCCTGGGGAGTTCAAAAAGCAAAAGGTTGCCTATGTCTCATTACACCTTTGTTTCACTTGTTTCAAATGAGCAGTGCCACCTCCCATGGTGACTGGCTTTAACAGGATCAGAAGAGCAAGAGCTGGGAGTAGAACTTGGCTTCACGCTGCGCTCGAAGGAGCCTGGAGATCCTTCTCCCACATCCGGGGGACACGCAAGTCTCTGTGGAAGCAAGTCTATTTGTCTGCTAGGCTTTAAGGTCACAGGGATTAATTCTTCCTCTTTGCATGTTCCTGGAGTCATCAGTGGCTTAGTTTTCTGTGATCCTTCTTGCTGTTGATTTTGGAGCTCCAAGAATCACACATTAAATACCTGCTAAATACATTTTTCCCTTTGGGATGCAAGCGGAGGGTGCTGGCAATGTCAGTTTGTTAGAACAGAGGAAGAAACTGAAAAAAGCTTTTCCAAAAAGGTGCAAATGGAGCCATTAATAACTTGAGTTTGGTTTTGCTTTCTGGCAGACTGGTATCCCTCCTTGCTTCAACACAGATGTATTGTTTGATCTTGATGTGTTCTTTGGGAGGCTGGGGATATTTAGCTGCTTCTAAAAGGCAGAGAGAACCATTTCATAGAGCTCTTTGAGCCTTTATTTTGTAAGGCTGGTGCCAAAATCCACATACGCACTGCCACGCAGAACCAGCATGGTGCCATAACAGTGTGGCCTTCCTGCAGATTTATAGAAGTAATTTTCCCATTTCCTCCATTGTGCCTGGAACACGTGTGTATCATTTCACAGTGGGTTTCCACAACGTCTGTTTGAGTGTGTACAGTGTTCAGACACCCCAGCAACCCTGGGCAAAGCTGAATTCCTGGGACTGCGCCCCCCTCCTTCAGAAAAGCTGAGATTACCAAGTGCCACGTATTAGAAAAATTTACAGGGAGTTTGTGTTTATATCTAATACAAGTCAACATACAAAATTTGCTATTCTGTTTGAGTAGCCAGCAAAGTTTTGATGCTATTATGTCTTTCTCCCACGGAGCATAACAATTTGCATCACTTATCAACTTTTATAGATTTTTCTCTTACACTTTACACATTAGAGCACCTTTCATTTAAAAATAAGACTGTTGTTGCAAAGCCAGACAT